AAGAAAGAAAGAAAGAAAGAAAGAAAGAAAGAAAGAAAGAAAGAAAGAAAGAAAGAAAGAAAGAAAGAAAGAAAGAAAGAAAGAAAGAAAACCTGAACTTGCAAGGACTTAACATAGTTCAAAGAGGAACTGATTCGTAACTGTCTAACTGCAAACAGAACCCTTAACCTGCAAAGTATACTTTCCGTTTTGGTCTCCCATTAACTTGTAAGGTATACTGTTCCTGGTTTGGTCTCACGATGTCTAATCGACCGTGAGTTCTCTCAACAGATCCAGACCGAGGTGGGTAGCAGCGGGGTAGACGTGATCAAGTCCTTGTATTCCAAATCCCGACTCTATAAACGAAACTTTAAGCACTGCCTCTGTGGTTTTCTGCATGAACGTGAAAGTAAGATTTATTGTGGTGCATACGGGGCAGTGAGAGAGAATTATTTTAATATCTGACCAAAGCTAGCTCATCTAAACACGGGAACAAGCTCCAGTAGGCACACTTAGTGGAAAAACACCTCCCCACCCTCGGGCTGTGACTGCGGAGCTCCAACCAGACAAAAGTGGGCGGGCCGCACTAGTGCGCATGCGGCGCACCATTCCCTGGAGCGGCCGCTCTAGGCAGTGGGGAGGTCGCCTGGGGTTGAGTCTGCGGAGTCTATGGTGTGGGGGACGGCGCATGGTCAGCCGGCCGACCTGGGTTATTTCCGGAAGCGAGGCCGGCTGCTTTCCCTCTGCTTCCGCAGGGCTCGGAGTGGGTCCCGGGACTAGTGACGAGGTGAGCGCGGTGGGGATGGTAACGGGGCAGCAAGGCGCTTGGCTCGAGATGGAACGAACCCGCTCCCCGAGCCGCACTGGCAGGGTGAGCCCAGGCTCGCGGGCCCTCCCTCACCCGGGCCTGGGCGCTACAAGCGTCCCTGCCGGACTTTTGCCCGCGTCGGGGTCTGGGTCCGAGCCATTCGCTCCCGGGGGTGGCAGACAAGGTCTTGATTCCACACACCTGCGGCTTAGGGGTGCCCGCCACGTCCGCTAGATCCGAAGCCTTCCTGTCCCAAGGCAGACGGTTCATAATGAGAACGCAGAAAAGGGAACATCGAACTCCAAAGTCACACTGGGTTGACCTAGAGCTTCGCTCTTCTCATTGCTGTACTCACGAATCAGAAGTGTTGTAGAAAGGGTGTGTGTGTGTTTGAAAGAGATGATTTTTTTTTGTTTGTTTGTTTGTTTTTCGAGACAAGGTCTCTCTGTGTGAAGTCCTGGCTGTCCTGGAACTGGCTCTGTAGTCCAGGCTGGCCTCGAACTCACAGAGATCCGCCTGCTTCTGCTTCCCGAGTGCTGGGATTGAAGGCGTGCACCACCAACCGCCCGGTCGAGACGATGTATCATCTAACTGGGAATCTCTAGTTGGGTAAGGGGCGAACCCCTAACTTTGGTAGAAAAGAGAAAGTAAGTGAAAGCCTTATGCCCGCAGCTGTCGCCGATGGGTCGTCCCCGCGGAAGCCCATTGGTTCGTCCTTGGGGTGGCCCCAACCTCACACCAGAGAGGCCAATACGAAATTTTCCTCTGTCTTTAGACACCCGAGACCCAGTACGGACTGCACGTGCCTTATGCAGTTTTGTTTGTTCTTGTTACTGCTATTTTGTAAACAGCCTGGATGTGTCCTGACCCAAGTGCTTGGTATGTGCCTGGGTTTATCTTCCACAAACCTGATGGGAAAATCATACTCTTGGGCTGTTTAGACCCCCTCCCCCTCTTTTTTTCCCTCCAGCATTCAGATGTATGCTAACAACACTAGTCACCATTCAGTAAAATTCGGCTATTAGTAATCTCATTAATATCAATCAATCATCCAGCAAACTTTTTACCTAGCTGTGGACACAGTTTGGCATCTATTTCTAGCAATCCTTTAACGTTGATATTAGTGTAGACTGGTAAATGGGAAATAATGAGGCTCAAGGAGAACAAAGGTGACCAGGTTGGGAGCCTAGGTTAGCTTCACTCTGAAGACTTATTTTGGTTTGTTTCTTTTAGGGTGGGTGGGGTGGGGTGGCAGTTTTGGGGGTTTTGTTTTTGTTTCCAGACAGGGTTTCTGTATGTAGTCCTGGTTGCTCAGGAACTCAGACCAGGCTGGCCTTGAACTAGGGAATCCATCAGAGGCAGGAATTTAAATCCCTTTGGATTGCAGGGATTAAAAGCACACTCCATCATGCCTGGCTTGTTTTTGACATAGGGTCCTTGTAGTCCAGGCTGGCCAAAAATAACTCTTGGACTTTGACTTTCCTGGCTTTCTGAATCTGGTAACAGGAAATACAGAAGGGAAAATGAAACTCTAAATTGACACTGGTGATAGAATTTCCCTCTTTTGATTCCCAATCTCATGACTTAGAAATCTGGATTTAGGCAAATGGCAGTTTCCCCTGAGTACTGAGATTATAAGTGTGTGCCACCATGCCCAGTTTATACACAGCTAATGATAGAACCTAGTAAGCAAGCAAGCAGTCTGCCACATAGTCCAGGAGATTAGGTGACACAGAGAAGCCTCACACAGCTGCATAGAGACAGGATCTGTTCACTTGGAGTGGATTAATCATCAAAGACATTTGGATCTTGTTAGTGGATACTTTTGATTTAGAAATCTTAACAGATGGGAGTGTAATGATAGTTATTGACATAAGATAGTTATTGATTATGTTGATTAAGTCAATTAAAAGTTTTAAGTTCTTTTTCAATGATGAAATGATGGCTAGACCAAGAGTGGGGTTGTGCTCTGAAAAATGTCTTGGTGCCAAAGCTCAGGGATAGAGGTTTTTAAAGGCAAAAACCACAGACCGTAATTTACATCAAAGGCCAGAGTAACCTTAAATGTTCATTCCTGGCAGAGCATGGTAGTTATTTTAGACATAACCTCAAATGTGTTGCCAAGGCAGATGTGACCACTAGGGAAAGGGAATAGAGGGCTGAGAACAAACAAAATATAGTCAAGACAGGATGGTGTACCTTAGTCATTTCAGGAGTATATGAAAAATAAAGCACTCAAGGAGCAGAGGTTTATAAGTGGGACTACATTGTGCTCTGTGAACAGAAGCTTAATAGAAATAACATTGTCATGTGTGCTAGGAACTATTCAGAGTTGTCTTGTAATAGCCCCTTGAGGCTGTATTGTTTTTTTTTTTTTTGTTTGGTTTTTTCGAGACAGGGTTTCTCTGTGTAGCTTTGCGCCTTTCCTGGAACTCACTTGGTAGCACAGGCTGGCCTTGAACTCACAGAGATCCGCCTGGCTCTGCCTCCCGAGTGCTGGGATTAAAGGCGTGCGCCACCACCGCCCGGCGAGGCTGTATTGTTATTAGCTCCATTTTACAGATAATGTAAAGAAAGTTAAATGATTTGCCTGAGATCATGCAGCTAATGGTTGAGCTAAGATTTAACTTACTCATTCTGTCTCTAGCATTCGTGCTGTAAGTGAAAATGTTAGTTTGACAGCCAGACTTGGTGGTTTAACAAGTCAAGGCCTGGTGACACAGACTTTAATCCCAGCTACTTGGTAGACTGAGGCAGTAAGATTGCAAGTTCAAAGCCTTAGTTATATGGATTAGGGCTGACGGCCACGGCATCTGTTTAGAGTCTACAAAATTCTGGTTTCAGGTTCTAGCACTAGAAAAGTTAGTTTACTGTCCAGCCATGCAGATTCTTAAGTGAATATCTCCCATCTGGGTTTTAATTTTTTTTGTAGTAGGGAATGTTTTGTTTTGAGACGGTTTCATGTATCACTGGCTTAGCTTGAACTAAGGGTGACCTTGAATACCTGGTTCTCCTGCCTTCAACACTCATATCTGGCATTATAGGCTTGTGACATCAGATCCAGGTTAGTGGGGAAGGTTTTGAGCAAAGGAGGAATTTGATGGAGATTTTGCTCTAAGAAGATAATTCAATCATTGAAAAAGAGAGATTCACAAAAAGAATAGGAAGTGGTATTTAAGTTTCACTTCAGCCATACATAGTCTAAGACATATTTAGGCATTTACATGTAGATTACATGTAGTCCTAAACTTCCAGGCTCATGATAGCCATCTTGTGAAGCAGTCTTGTGAAGCACTTGTTTCAAATACATAGGTCCAGATCCATGGATTGCATATCTACAAATTCAACAGCAGGAAAGGAAAAGAATTTTTAAGTTAACTTTTGGGATGGAGAATATAGTGTATCTAGCATGTACAATGGTCCTGAGTTCAATCCCTGTCTCTGCCAGAAAAATCCAGAAAGTTCCAAATTACAAAATTGGAACTTGCCACATGCTAAGCACTACACTGAATCCAGAGGAATGAAGCTCTGTGAAGGCATGTACATCCTGAGATAGCTTCCTCCCATTTCACGGATCCGCAGTCTCTGCAGCACTATGGGCATTGTTTACCTGGCATTTTGCTCTTGTGTACTTTGTAGTCAGGCCTACTGTGGTTGCTCGTGTACTGGACTTGTGTAAGAGATGACTAAGAGAGACAGGCAGTGGTGGTGCTTTAATCCCAGTGCTCAGGAGGCAGAGGCAGGTGAACCTACAGAGCAAGTTCCAGTACAGCAAAAGCTACTGAAAAACACCGTCTTGAAAACAACAACAACAACAAAGAACTAAGGAATATAGAATACAGTGCATAGGCCACATGTAAACACTGTCCTTGCCCAAAAGGATTTGCAGACTCAGGTTCTGGTACCTCTGGGAAGTCCTGGAGCAGATACCAAAGGAGGACTATGTACTCCCTGCCTTGTTCTCAGACATCTAGTTCAAGTTCACCAAGTTTCTCACGGGATTCTGATGAAGGTATTAAGAGCTACATTGATAAAGATTCAGATATCTGTTGCTTCAATTTACATCTGCAAATATCTAGAGCCCCATTTTATAGCCGTTCTGTGATATAATAGGCTTGACTGTGGCTTGATTTCTAGAATTCAGGGAGCCTATTGTTCCCACAAAAAACAATGCAAGGCAGTTTATACTTGACTTTTACTCACCAGCACGTACCAACCAGACCTCTAACTACTCCTGTGGCAGCCTGCGTGTCAGCATCCTGGAACCTCAAGCCATCAATCCACACTGAAGCCCATATCTTCTAGAGTCCAGCCTATCTAGGGTGCAGGTGAATTTTGAGGCCTACCTATGTCTCAGTGCCCATTAAAGGACCATTAGGACTGCTTTGGTGAACTTGTGACCAGCCCAGCCATCCATGCTTCACATCCCTGTTATCCTTGGTCACCGTCCAAGATCACTGTACAGAAGAGATGAGATATGGTCTAACAGACCATATGACAAAGTACTTCCTCAAAATGCCCACAGCGATGAATCTGGCCTTAGGAGAACGGGAGATGGTCTTTCTGCAAGCCAACAGCGTGAGTGCAGGGACATAAAAGATGATTTTAAAAGAAAATGTTCCTCCTCTTCCCATTATTCAAGACAGTGGTCTCCCTATAAAGGGACTTCTTGTTTTTTCAGAAAATCAAATATAGGTCAAAAAGACTCCCCACACCGCAGATCTGGATCTAGTGGAGGGCACTCACCAAAAGGAAGCGAACAGTATTCTTCCCATTGGTCACAGCTTAGGACATCCACGCATGCTAATGCCTCCTACAGATGGGACAGAGAGGAAAAGCCGGAAGGAGGTCAAAACAGACCTGGCCAGTCTTGGAAAACATCAGGAGACACATACCCATTAAGTTCTTTAGCAGTTCCTTCATCAGAAATTTTAGACAAACTCAACAACTTCGATGAAAATGGACTTCCTGAAGCTACCAGCAGGCAGGCGGTAGAAAATCCAAAGATGGCAGATGAAGGTGACTTACCTAAAATTTCTGAGTTTGAAGTTGGATTCACAGAACCGTTACTTATGGATCAGCCACAGGAACCTGAGTCAAACAGAACAGAAGGCACAGAATTAGTCAGTGACCAACGAACCGATCGCCTTAAAGCAATAGCATCAAAAACCAAGGAAATTGAGCAAGCATACCACCAAGACTGTGAAACCTTTGGGATGGTGGTGAAAATGCTGGTTGAAAAAGATCCTTCATTAGAAAAGTCCATTCAATTTGCATTTAGGCAGAATTTACATGAAATAAGTGAGCGGTGTGTGGAAGAGCTCAGACAGTTCATTGCAGAGTATGATGCTTCCTAAGAATTGGAGCTCTAGCAGAAAAACGTTCCTTGATTGTTATTCCAGAATTGCATAAATATTTCAAATGTGGAATTTTTGTGATGAGAAATACTTCAGTGTCAAGAAAAATCTAAAATGGTCAGCTTAAAATAATCTATTCAGAACTCTATTCCACTTTATAGAGCCTTCTAATTCATATACATGCCGATTTCATTGAGTGTTTTAGCCTGCTGGGAGCAGCTTTCTGCTTACTCATGTTCTGTAGTCTTCCAAGGACAAGAATGTGTGGCCCAAGTATACTTTATAGTTAGAGATTTAACTTCATAGTAAATGATAGCATGTAAAAATTAGCATTTTGTGATTTTATTGGCCTTTTCTTAGGCTTTGTTACTTGTATTAAAATGATCCTACATTAAAGTATATTATTTTAATAAACTGGTACTTTGGTATCTTAAGAAAATAAAAAGTATAGGAATGGTCTGAATCATCAAAAGACATGTGAGCTTGTAATATGAGTTGAATTGATGAATGTATATGTGTGGTACTAGGGATTAAACTCAGAATTTTGGCATTCTAGGTACCTGATCTTCCACTAAGCTATAATCCCAGGATCAAAGTGGATATTTTAAACCAACTATTAGGGCATGTGTTACTTGGTAACCCCTGTAAGCTTTTCGGTTTGGGGTTTTTGTTTGTTTGTTTGCTTTTTTGTTTGTTTGTTTTTGTTTTCAAGATAGGGTTTCATTGTGTACCTGCTTTGACTGTCTTGGAACTCATTCTGTAGACCAGGCTAACCTCAATCTCAGAGATTCTCCCAGCCTCTGCCTCTCAAGTGCTGGGATTAAAGGTGTGTGCTGCTGCCGCCGCCGCCACCACCACCACCACCACCACCACGCTAGGCTTTTTGTTTTGTTTGTTTTCTTAATAGCTTTCTGAGTTGTTGAACAACTGCTAGGTGTAGTGCAGAATAGGTCCTCAGATGTCTGCCCCAGAGACAGCAGACGGCAGGCTCAGCCTGATGCCTTTCTTAGACTGCCCTAGTTTTGCCCAACACAACTTAAGGCGATCCAAATTCAGGCAACAAGTCAACATCTAAAAGAGCATGCTATCTTTAGCCTACTGACCTTCGATCTTCTCCAGAAAGAGTCTTTTTGGAATTGGAAAAATAGAAGGTTTTAGACAGAGACTGGAAATGCTTCTGCCTTTTATTGGAAGAGCCAGTGTTTCTGTCTATAGGAATTCCACTAACATTCTCTTCACTAACATTTTGTTCTTACGGCCATTCGTGACCTTTGCCTCACTTAACTGGGCACATTACTTTTTACTTGGTAGTCATGAGAGATGGGTGGACACTGAAGTATTCTGCCACTATTTATAGTGGTCTCCTAGACCAGGCCTGCCCTCCTGCTTAGAATTCAGATGTTCCCCGTAGCATCAGACTCACCTAAACGTCTAACAGTTGGAGTTCATGTTCCAGATAGTGTCAAATCCTAGTTTGTTTTTCTCATCTATACAGTTTGTAGCACTGTGGTGTGGACTAGATGATAAAGGAGTGAATCAGTCCTTTGAGCTGATACTTATTAAATACTTCATTGGGATGGTATGATGGCAGTCTCCATGATTTTCCCCCCTTAGGTTAAAATACAAACTAATGGCAGACTGATTTATAACTGAATTCTGCCCATTACAGATTGGCTTCCATTTTCTCAGCTGTAAAGTGGAAATGATATACTGCTTTTCCCAGTTGACTAGTGTACCTTTTAGATTATAAGACTCAACAAGCACCAGCCATTCTCTTTATTTCCTGTTACTAGATAATGTGTAATGAGAAGAAACAGTCTAATCAGAGGCTCACAGAAGCCAAAATGGCTTTTGTTGTTGTTGATGTTGTTGGTTTGGTTTTTCAAGAAAGGGTTTCTCTGTAGACCAGGCTGGCCTCAAACTCAAAGATCCAGCTGCCTCTGCCTCCTGAGTTCTGCGATTGAAGGCACTAAAGGTGTGTGCTACCACCATCTAGCCTTTTTTTTTTTTTGAAAGATTTTTATTATATGTGTTTGAGTGGATGTCTGTGTACCACATACATGCAGTGTCTGCAGAGGCCAGAGGAGGACACTAGATCCCCTGGAGCTGGAGTTAGAGATGCTTGTGAGCTGCCATGTGGATGCTGGGATCTGGAATAGCAGCCATTGCTCTAACCACTGAGTCATCTCCAGTTATCTCTCCAGCCCTAAAGTGAGGTTTTGTTTTGTTTTGTTTTTTTCTCACATAACTTGCAAAAGAGGTGGTTGAGATATTTTCTAGACAGAATCTGAAATAGACCCTAAAAATACTATTCCTCAAATTAGGTACAATCATAATAACTGATATTTGGTTGTTGTTAGTGGTGGTGGTGGTGGTGGTGGTGGTGGTGGTGGGGTGTGTGTGTGTGTGTGTGTG